CTGACCGTGAACGGGCGTTCCTCGATCCCTTTCGGCAGCATGCACATGACCTCCGTCTTGGGCTCCGATACCCTCAGTCCGAACAGGCCGGCCACGCGCACGGTGACCGACATCATCTTCTCGAGACTCTCCGGCGAGCGCGAGACGATGACCGCGTCATCAGGGTAGAGCATGGCCCACAGGGCCTCCGCGTCCGTCACCACCGTCGTCTTCTTCCCCGCCGACCTGCCCTTCTTGCCCGTGTACTCCACTTGTGTCCCGATCTTGACCATGTCCGCCGTCACCTTGGGGTCCTTGTCGAACTCGGCCACGGCGACCATGAGCATCGCGGCAAAGAACAAGTTGAACAGCAGCGGGGCCAGGTTGCATCCCTGTCGGAGGCCTTGGCCCACGTCGAACCATTCCNNNNAGGAACTGGCGGTGGGTCCCATTGAGCTTCGTGTAGTGCTCCGCTGTTGGGCTCCACGAGGCGCACCCATATAGGAGAGTCTCCACCACTTCAACCTGGAGTAGCCGCATCTTGAGCTGACGGTTGGCCCGTCGCCTGTCGTACATCGAAGCACTGCTGTTCCGGCGGTAGCACTTCCACGCTCGGCAGCTGCGGCTCGTGATCTCCCGGTCGGCCTTCCCGTCCGCGGAGATGGTACGTCCGAGGTACACAAACCGATCTGTCTGCTTGTACGTCTGGCCGGCGGCGCTGACCGTGAACGGGCGTTCCTCGATCCCTTTCGGCAGCATGCACATGATCTCCGTCTTTGGCTCCGATACCATCAGTCCGAACAGGCCGGCCACGCGCACGATGACCGACATCATCTTCTCGAGACTCTCCGGCGAGCGCGAGACGATGGCCGCGTCGTCAGCGTAGAGCATGGCCCACAAGGCCTCCGCGTCCGTCACCACCGTCGTCTTCTTCCCCGCCGACCTGCCCTTCTTGCCCGTGTACTCCACTTGTGTCCCGGTCTTGACCATGTCCACCGTCACCTTGGGGTCCTTGTCGAACTCGGCCACGGCGACCATGAGCATCGCGGCAAAGAACAAGTTGAGCAGCAGCGGGACTAGGTT